AACAAAACGTTGCCTGCCTTGTATCAATGGTTCAGTCTGATGATGTAGGCCACGGGCGACATGAGTATTAAATCTGACCACAGTGCACACATCTTCTGATGGAAAACATTCCACGTCACAAAGCTCGACTGACTGTCTGATGCTATCAAGTCAATATGGTTGACAATATGTGAGGATCTGCTTGTTGAATCTATGCCACAAATAATTAAGGCAGTTCTGAAGGCAAAGGGGAGTTCATTCTGATATAAGCATGGTGTGCTCAACAAAGTGACCGGAGAGGTTACGTGCACTCAGGAATGTCTGCCCACGAAAGCCATTCAGCTACAATAATAGAACCAAGAATCATGTTTTCCTTTTCAAATGAAAGTTGATGTCTGCAGTTCCTGTCACACACTTCCAATAAATTTGTTATCATCGCTCTCAGGTTGCTCCGCTCTGATACTGTGCCAACCTGGCTGGTGTGAGCCAACACAGTTGTCACTTTTATCACAATATTTCTGTCTACAGTGGAGCTGAAGAATGTATTTGGTTATTTATTTGTCTTTTCAGACCTTACAGAAAACTGGGTTTCCTGTAAGGTCTCTTGGATCAACAAAAAAATCAATTTGAAGACAGCTATTCAGGGCTTTTGGTCTCATTAATGCATTTTGTATAACAACTAAATGTTTGGTCAGTGAAAATAATAATAATTAGTCAGGCAACAGACATGTAATTAAAAACAATTATATGTAACATTTACCTTGCTACAAAATAACTTTGCAAATTTTATTGTGTATAACTTCCACTTAGTTTGCCATCTAGTTTGTAGGACTTCAACCTAGTAGGATTGTAACAACATGAGCGCAACCATAAAGGCTTCAAACTCAAAAACTTTGTTTACCCCAAAGCTCATGTTAAAAATTGCCATGTGAGTGGAGACCTGCTCAGCTTTTTGCTAAGTGCCATTCGAGTGCAACTTTATTTATCCGTGAAAGAGATATGCAAAGAATGCTTCTGTCGCTCTTTTTCCACAACACGCCACTTCACACTCATACAGTTACACACATTCCAACATGAGAGCTGCCCCCTGACGCAGAGGGACGAGAGTGAGAGTTAGTCATACATATCACCAGCTAGCTTTTGTGTAGAAGCTAATTTTATAGACACACTTACAAAACTCAAACAGTATTCTGCTAACTCCACAGGGCATTAAGATTAACACCCTCCCACTTGTGTGTTTAACCAGGTTACATATTACGTGACCCCACTTTAACTACTGTTAAACTACTGCTTGGCTACAGTAAGACAGAAAATGCTGCATAGAGTATATCACATATCAGCAGGTTACTGAAGACATAACAGTGTTTAAGCTGCCTTTCTACCTCACTCCTACAGCTGAATGAAAGCGACATTAATAATGAATTAAAGCACCAATCTTCACCATTCTTGTTGTTTTTAGCTTCCTTTTTTGCTCTTTTGTTTTCTTTTTTCCACAAACAATACAGAGCATGCGCCACTATCCAAGGTCAGGTACTTCCATTCATATCAGTCTGTAACATGAAACTATATCCACTGGAAATCGTATCTACAGACTTATAAAAACACAATAAAGGGGACTTTATATATGTTCAATCACAGTTAGGTAGTTAGGATTGCAACAAGACACACAGGAGTGCATACACAAACACAGACACACACACACACACACACACACACACACACATCCATTCACACACACACACGCACTGCAGCAGAGTGGTGCAGCAGAGTTATCACTGCGACCCATCCCATCAACAGACCCCCAGTCTACAATCTCCCATCACCATCATTCGACAGTGTCTCATGTCTGGACGGGTAACTGCTACAACACCACTAAATCCCACCAGCTACACAATCTCTAGTCCTGTTAGCATTACAGCAGCATATCAGGAGACAGGAGGCTAACTCTGTGAGCTCAGTGACTTTTACAGTAAAGTACAGTAAAGACTTACTTCTGCCAAATATTCTGCTGCCTCCTCCACTGCCATGTTTCTCAGCCCGCAGCTGAAAGTGTGAAACCTGAGCAGTCAATTATAGCAGCTAAGCCCTAGCCTGGAAGCTAGGGAGAGAGGGATGGGGGCAAGAGAGGAGAGGGAGTAGGAGGAGGGACTGTCGGTGTTTGAGAGGGAGGGAGGGAGGGAGAGAAAGACAGAGAGTGAAAGGCTGTGAGTGAAAGAGAGAGAGGGGGGCATTATGTCACAGCTAAAAATACCTGGCTTGCAGTGAGAAAGTCCAGAGCATGGAGGAGGACGAGAGGGAGTGATGGGGGAGGCAGGAGACTTCCGGCGTTAATCTTAGACCAGGTGGCGGCACAGGATCAGAGGACAGAGGCTCTGAGTGTGCACGCCAGTGTGCTAAGAGTTTTCTATTTTCAAGTTTTGATTTTTATTAAGGTTAAAAATGTTTGTCTAGTTTCCCAAATGGACTAACTTGTTTCAGTTTAGTTTTTATTGTTTAAAGAAAGGTTTGTTTTATTATAATTACTACTTAAAAGAGCTCACAATAAAAAAACTAGACTCACGCTCATGAATCCTAGTCTCGATAAACATATGCACATCAGACTGGCTGTAAAACCTGAACAAATACAGAGAC